AAGCTTCTCCAGGAGACTGAGCAGTGCACCATCTTCCCCTCCAGAGTCAGGAGGCAATGCTCAAACTGAGGACCAGAGCTCCCCTAAAGCGAACTATAGCCATTCTCAGTGACAAGGTCACAAGCTTCTCCTCCAATGAGAACAACCAAGTTCATCAGGAAAGCTAGCATGACAAACTCCTCCAGGAGAACCAACAGCTCCCTACACCTTCTCAACAGCTTCAAACAGCTCCCAACAGCCTTCCTCCCCCTCCTCCTCCTCTCCCCTTCCCCTTTCTTCTCCTCCTCATCCTCCTTCTTTTTCTCCACTTCTGCCTCTTATGCTGCTGACAACAATCCTCAGGTGGGCCTCTCACACCCAGCACCACACTGGTTCAGTTCTGCTGGGTGTTATAAGTTGATCACCAGCTGTCAATCCACCACAGTGCTATTAGGTGGCATGGGACCTTTGCGGGGAGGTGAGGGGAAGGTCTTCAGGTCATTAGTAACATGTGATGAAAGGGACGGTGGGAAGTGGGACCCCAGATTCTTCCTCTTGTATTCATTTCTTTTTTTTTTCTTACATTCATTTCTTGAGATGAGCAGCTTTAGACACACTTTCACCACAATGTACCGCCTCGCCAAAGGCCCAAAAACAACAGAACTGGAAATACCAAGATTTCAAGCCAAATAGACCTTTCTTTTTTATAAATCAACTACCCCAGGTGCTTGTTACAGTGACAGCAAGCCGATTTACTGACTCTTACTGTGAATTAACACATAAGGCTTTTAGAAGCGCTTCTCCTTGATGAAACAAGAGGCCCTGAAAATCCTGATGAGTGCTGGCATCCTTGCAGGAGGTGAGGGAGTGTAAGGAGCCCTCAAGGCAGGAGCTGTCACTTTTGGAGCTGGGTTCTAGGCCCACTGCTTTTGGGCCAGGCATGCCCTCCAGCTGCTGTGGGAATGGCTTCTCCTACCATCACAGCAAGCTCCCCTGCAGCTGCCTTCCCAGGTGCCCAAGGACAGCTGGCAGGTCTCCTCCCAGCACATGGAGTGGCCCATTCTCTCACAGATGTGTGTGTGTGTCACAGAATCCCATCCGAGACCCTTTCTCACTAGCCCACCCACATGGGAGTAAGATTTAGGGAGAGTGGGGTATGTAGCTCCACCAACTTCTCTTGGATGGAGGCCAATGATGTTTACAGAGAATGGAACAAATGCTGAGTGACCCCTTCATCCCAGGTCATCAGGCCCTAGGGAGAGCTGGGCAGAGCAAAGGCTACTCTACCTTTGAGAGTCCATAGAAAAGGCTGCTGATAAGAGAGCTGATTACCACTGTCGTAGAATTGAGAGTTGGGCCGTGTCTTGGAGTGTGGTCACCATGCATGGAGGCTGTTTTCTGCTGTCTTGCTCAAGCTGGTCCATTCTGGTCTTCTCTGCCTTGCAAGTCCTACATTGCCCTCCATCTTCTACCAACTTCAGGACTCCTGAGCCAAGAGTCCTCAGAGCATGGAGATGCAGTCAGAATCCCCAGGGCAGTTCCAAGAAAATTCATACTTACGCTGTGTATGAAATTCCCCTTCTAAGCATGGTGGACACCTATAATTTCGGCTGGGAGGCTGAGGCAGGAAATGGCAAGTTGAGGCCCAGGTTGGTCTATTTAGTGACTTAGTAAAACCCAGTCTCAAAAATTTTTTAAAAAGGGCTGGGGAGAGCAGATGTGTGAAGACTGTGGATGTGTGAAGACATCCAATCCTCCCTGCCTTTGATAGGTTTGCCTAAACCCTCTGAATATTAATCCAATTTTGTGCTCAGTTCTTTGCTAGCCACAGAGGGCTGTAAAAACAACCTTTTCGTTCCACAAGCTGAATATTGATGGATAGATACGCAGACCTGCATGAAACACGAAGGACTGCACACTGGGAACTTGGTATAATGTGTAACAGGAAGAGCTCTGTCCCAAGCGAGAACTCCTTAATGTACATGTGTAGAATGAAATAAAAGAGTGAATTGGTGAAACAGAAGCTTAGAGAGGAAGAGACGACTGTGTCTGGAGCTATCTAGTAACATTCAGGTTGGACAGTTGGAAGCACAGCCGCTCAGCGTGTGTAAAATGCCCTATAAAAATGCCCTATAATGTTTTATTCCTTCTGTTACAGCTGTTTCACTTCCAGGAGTTTATCCTTGGGAATGTGTCAGAGAAGGAAAAAAAGATTCTTGTTCACATGTTTGTTACGGTGTAATTGATAATAGTGAAAAAGCGGAAGCAATCCTAAGGTCCCGTAGCGGGGATCGGCAGTGAGGAAACAGAATCCCCATGACGTGACACGGCGTCCCGTGGCCACTCTAGTCTCGGTGTCTGTGCTGAGTACTGGCAGGAAAATAAGTGGGTGTGGGAGGATTACTAAGGAGGAAAAGATTCCAAAACTGAATGCTCCAGAATTTGTGTGTGTGTGTGTGTGTGTGTGTGTGTGTGTTCCTCTCTGGAATGACATGAAAAGCAATTTCTATTTACATTTCTAGGTTTTCTTTTTTTTTTTTTTTTTTTTTTTGGTTTTTCTCCGGTACCCGGAACCGAACTCATGACCTTGCGCTTGCCAGGCAGGCGCCTTTGCCGCTGAGCTAAATCCCCAGCCCCCATTTCTAGCTTTTCAAAGTCCAATTTAAAAAGAAAAGAGCCTACTGTCCTCTCGCTGGCTCTTCACAAGCCTTCGTGCCTCATGGACTCTGTGTGCAGCCTTCGTGTTGTGTTGTCTTCTGAGCACGTGCCGGGTGTGCGGTTTACACACGTGCACACTGGGACCACTCGGGAGGAAAGGAGGACAGAGGATGGGAGGAGCGAGGGCAATTTAATAATTTAAAAATGAAGAACAAAAAGAACAACACACTGCTCACCCTCTGCTCTGCTTCCCTGGGTGGCAGCATGGTGACCTCTGGTCACCTCCCCTAGCGGGTGACCGTTCCCCGCTCCCGGCCCTCTCCTGCTCACCTCAACTTTGTGCCCTGGAAGACTTCCGGAGGCGAGGTCTGTCCTAGGGCCCAAACTGAAGGGGAAGGAGCCTGTGTTGTGGGCAGGTGCAGCCCCAGGCCCTGTGGACGAGCCCTGGCTTTGCTGGTTTGTATCGGGTCTCTGCCTGCAGCCAGGCAGAGCTTGGGAAGCAAAGGATTTGTTTGATTCACCAGTGACAAGAAGTGTCTGGGACAGAGCACAAGGTGCTCAGCAAGGTCTTGTGCAATGGTTGCTTTATGAATGTCGAGCAGGAGGAATCCAAATGCACGGATGCTGGAAGCTTTTCATCTCCTGCAGAGTTAACCGTGGCTGGAAGCTCAGCCTCTGCCTACAGTAAGCCAAGGGCACGGCTTTGGCTCTGTGTGGGGCCGGTGCTCCGCCTGCCCTGTGAACTGGGGACTTCATTCCACCTAGGAATTCACAAATGCAGGGGTTTGGTCCTTTGGTTAAGGGAGACCAAAATTTTGGGGTTTTTCTGTGGCTTCTACTCCAGTACCGACTGACTGGCTCGTCCAGCTACTGTTGGTTATCACTCGCTGTGTTCCAAGTTTGGTTCTAGAAGCCGGGATATGGCACAGAAATCACTCTTGTTGCCAGGCGCATGCTGACCACCGACAGGTCTCCGTGTCTACACGCCAAGTGCTCTGCATACTTACTAGGGATTTCCAGGGACAACGCCCGCTGCTAGGAGAGTGAGGGCAAGGACCAAGCCCTGCAGCAGGCGTGGAGGCAGATCCTCCCACCAGGCGCAGAAGAGCCTGAGCTGCCGTGGCCTGGCGGAGGTGGCACCTTGCTTTGTTTGTATCACCTCCCCGTCCCTGGGTGTTTGAGGGCACTGTGATGCCAGCGTAGACAGAATGGCCACAGAAAGACTCATTAATGTCCTCCTCGAGACCACAGAACAGCATTCAAAGGGATGAAAGGAAGAAAATTCTGAGCAACTTTGAGAGAGTAGTACTTTGAGACAGACATGCTTGAGATTGTACCTGGGCGGAGTCCTTGGCCCGATGAGAAGTCGCTTCTGATGATCACACATCCGCTCCCGCTACCCACTGCAAGGGCACAGATCCTGGTGTGAACCTAGGACAACGTGGTATCATAGCACTGGACCCCCAAGGAACTCAAGACAGACGTGTGAAGGGACAGGAAATGGTTCCGGATGCTGCTGTGCTCTGTCTTCCCTTGAGGGCCTGATCTAGTAGGCAGCACTTCTGCTGGCTCTTCTGGTGGAAGGCATTCTTTCTAGAAAACCCTGTAGCCTCCAAAATGCTGGGTTCTGCTCAGGTGACCCAAAGGGAGCCCATGGAGGTCTTGTTGAAGATTTGGGGAGAACAGAAGGACGCCTGGGAGGTATACATGCCAGGCCAGCTCAGTGGGGCAGGAGACGGGTCCGGAGGCGACCTGCCAGGGAACAAGGGCATGTCTGCTTCTGGTGGGCACCCAGCTCCGTCCCTTTGGACTGGGGCACACTCAGGTGACTGGATGGATGCAGTGTCAGCATCTAGCAAGGTGCCCCATTGCTCTCAGCAGAAATGTCTGCCGTGGTAGGGACTGGCTGTCCTGGGAGCAGGGGCTATTGTAGGAGGCATCTGTTCCAGCCTAATCTTTCTGGAATGTGCCCAGTAACAGCTGAGAAAGTCCCTCATGTAGCAAGGAGCCTGTACGTCCAGGCCCAAATCCTTTGCAGTGATTGTGTCTGCCTGCTTCTGTGTGAACTCCAGAGACCTTGGACTGAGGGAGGATCTTTAGGTCACCAAAACACAGACACCAAGCTTTACATGTGTGATCACCAGCCAGTACTGGCTCTCAGAAGCATAAGGCAATTGCAGGGGCCCTATGACTCAGCTCCCGCCTCTGCCCACTCCAGGCTGAGCCTCTGGACTTGGGGATGCCCCAAAGGGCCTGGGGTGGTCGGCCTGGGACAAGGTGAGACGACCCCACCCTAGGCCTGGAGTGACTTCCCCCTATGTACAGAAAGACAAACGGGACAGAGAAGAACTCATAACTCCAAGTAGAATAAAAGTGAACATTTAATGCCACCATAATTTGATTCTTTTAAACACCAGATTCTTTTTTTGACAACATTTTACACCTCATATGCCACAAAAAGTCAGAGATCGTAGCCAGCAAACAATGTCTTCACGTGGGAAATGGGGCACAGATTCATGAACGCATGTCACCAATTTGTGAGAACTATACCACGTTCTTTCCCAGACCTTCTCCAGGTAGCCTGCTCATATTTATCATGACCAAGCCAACAGCTTACTTTTACATAACTATGTAAAGGCCCACACACAAAACCAGCCTGCAGATAGGCTGCTGGAATCTGCCCAAGAATGGATAGTTGAATTTCTGACCTCGACAAATGAACTTTATTTTTTTTAAATTAACAGCAAACACTTGTGAGCTAAGAGCTTAATTTTTAAAACAGCGTCAATCTTCAGTTAAACAGTGAATTTAAAACAATGATATCAATACTACCACTGACTTTCTAAAAAACAAAAGAATTTATGAGCTTGTTTGTGAATTCACTGTTTCCAACACAATAAATGCACTTGGGCAGGTTTGTCTCCAGTTTTCAAATGGGTCCATTTCTACAGATAAGCATATTTCTATATACATACATACATTACTAACCATGGAACCGCAGAGCTAGAGCTTGAAGGAACCACAAAGGTCATTGAGCGCAGTTCTCATTTTGCAGATTAGAAAACTGAGTTCAGAGTAGCTGGTAATTTTTCCGAGGCCCTAGACAGGTCTACTGTGGAAACTGGAATTAGAACTCAGGTTTTCTGTCCCATGCTCTTCCATATGTCATACGTCTTCTGTACACACGCTTCCACATATGCACACACACACACATTGGTGCAGAGGAGTGAAGTGTGTGGTCATGAGCACACACGGTGCAGTGCCATCTTACTAATGGGAAGAGTCCAGTGCGCTGGACTCAAGTCCCGGTTCTGCTCTAACTACTCTATAAACTTGGGCCAATCAATGACTGTTGATGTTAGTTTCATCTTTAAATGATCTCCCAGCTCCTACACAGAGTTTCCATTTCCTTGAAGTACATCTGTTCCACCATGTTTTCCTCTTGACATTATCCGGGAAAAGCAGCTTTATGGCCCCAACCTTCCCCTGCGGAGCCCCAGGCCCAGCAAAATGAAGTCACTTGTCTGAGGTTGCGTAGCTAGTGATGGAACCAGGCTTAGCACCTGGTTTCCCCCTCCTTCCCCAGATGAGATTACTGGCCCAGGCCCTCCCTGGCTGTCAGGGATCCATTGAGCGGACAAGATGCCTTAAGTATTATGGGTTGGAAGACTCACTAAAGTGCTTCTGTTTCTCCAGGAAAAAAAAAAAAATCCAGCTATGATATATATCCAAGGTAAGGACCTCTAGCTGCCTGCCCGGCCCACTTCAGTAGCACGGGGTAGTGTCAGAATCGTGAAGAAATGGAGGGATGTAATAATACTGTCAGCACATTTCTCAGGAATTTCCTGTTGAACCGGGAGGAAGAGGCTGGACCCTCTTCTGCCGAGGCCAGTGGAAGCTGAATTCCAACCTCATTATCATCAAATGAGAAAGGAAAGATCTTTTCCCCTTTGGCTACTTTAGAAACAGCTGAGATTTTTACACTAAGCTCTGTACTTTGAGAATTGGGCCCTAATCTCTGTTCTCCTGATTCATTTATCCTCCCCTCCCCTTGTCTGTGCTAACAGACTTTGACAGAGTGAGAAAAACAGAAAAAAAAAAAAAAAAAAAACCAGAACCAAAAAACAGCCGCAGACAGATCTACCAAGCTTCACCTTTGAATGCAGAGCATGTGGAGAACAGTTCCAAGCAAGAAGTGTAAATAAACTCTAAAACAGCAATGGTGAACCTTTCAGAGCTTTCTATGATAAACACAGCCCACTGTGGCACACCTGCCGTAGGTTCGCCACCACTGTTGTAAAACACAGGCAGTGTGATAAATAAAGCAACAGCCTGAGTTTGCAAATAAATGATAACTTTTAAATGATAAATTTAAATGCTAAATTGAACGGGACAGTGAGGGATGTTAGCAACGTGGGAAATGAAGGTATGAGACTCTTAAAATTCTGTCTGAGCGCTGGTATCCGATTGGTCTCTCTACACACGTGGACACTGGGATTGGCTGTTGTAAACGCTGTTAATTACATGCAATCAGGTCTTGACACAGCCTCTAGCTCCAGTCCGTGCCCAGCATTATGATATCAGATCCAGCTCTGAGTAGGGCCACCCAGCAGCGGAGTGTGTTTGTTTAGGGATGAATAAATGAGGTCTTAGGAATGTTCAAACAACTTTTTCTGAAATCATAAGCTAAGGTTTTAATAGCTTTCCCTGGGTTGAAATTCTGCTTCTATTATTGTGGAAATAATGAACAATTTGTAATTGAGAAGCATATTATTTTGTCAGGAAGGTTGCAAAAGGATACTTTATGAATTTTTACCCACACATGGTGACAGATACCTTCCAGAGGAGGAGAAAGAGATACTATAATCCAGAGCAATATTATATTTCTACCACCTGGCAAGAAAAATATGTTAGACCCATTTCCTGGCAGCATCGGTGAAACCGAGCGCCCAGATTTGTCTCACTTGGCTTGGAGGACAGTGGCCCCGCTTGGTTTTTTTCCCTGCACCGATGTTGTTCACACTGTGGAAAGCTAGGTCACACTGCCCGGGTGGCAGCCGAGAGGCCCCAGGGATGACGGCAGCGGACAGTTTAGAGAGTACCCACCAGCAACACTCAGGACTTCCAACCTGTCTGACGGGCTTGGCTTCAGGGGTTAGAGTTACTGTCTTCAGAAGTGAGGAAATGCTTTTGCATATGCTTAGAATGGGCTAATAAATCTTCAGACAGGAAAGAATGACTAAATTCATGGAATCTTCTGTTTCCAATTTTGAAATGAACTCATCTGTAGTAGTTTTGTTACCCTACAATCCCTGATGGAATAAGGAACCTAGAAACATTCAATACATCATTATTTTGGAAGGCTCAATGACAAATCCACTGGCCAACAACACAGGGCGAGGGTGCGTGCACTGAGGGACTGTGGGCTTTTGTCAGCCTGGCCTTCTATCCTGAGTCAAGGTCAGATGGCTGGTTTTGAACAGAAATACCTGTGATGAAGGCATATGGCTTCACCAGAATGAATGTGTGCTCCACAATTTGAAGCCCCCACACGTGGCTTGAGATACACACCCATGCGGGCACAAATGCATTCCTGTGTAACACTTGAATGGAAATCCTTGCAGCAAACGCGGGTCTCGGATGTGTACGTGAGGTTTTCTGAACCACCAGTCTGGACAGGAGCTGTAATCAACTCACTGCCACCCTACTGCACATAGATTTCAAGCTTCAGGCCACTTTAAGATACCCTGAGCCACATTCCTGCCCCAAATCCCCCACACTGGGCTGCACGGCTTTTTTGTTGTTGTTTGTTTTTCAGCCCCAGCATCTACTGCAGGGGACCCTTTCCTGCTTGGGGTCCTTGTTTGAGTCCCACTTCTATCACCACGGAACCCACTCTGCATTTGCATCTCATGGTCCCTATGTTCAGAATAGCAATTGGAGATAAAACAACAGGCAGGAGTGCTGATTTCCAATCTGGAAGAGATGAAAGTGAGAAACTGCTTCCCCATGATGTCGAGGGGAATTCAAGGACAAGAAGATCAAAGGTTCCAGCTCTCAGGTGTGGACTGAAAGCCTGGGATAAAGCAAACTACTGCTGCCTCGCAGCACGAGACCCCATTATGAAATGCAACATGGGTTTACTCCTGGGGAAACAATCTCTCATTTCTCTTTCTTGGATCTTAGTTTTGCTGTGCTGCCACAGCTGCTGCCTCACACTCAGGTAGCTGGAGTAGGGGCTGGGGAGGGGTGGGGCAGGTTAACTCATCTAAATGTTAATTTCAGAGAAACACCTCTATGTCCCTTTCATTTGGAGATAATGCGATAGAAGTGAGTTCTTGGATGCTCCCTCTGCCTTGGTGGGTTGTCTGTCACCAAAACCAAAAGAAGGCCTGGAGTCATCACACATCTGGACAGGACAAGGCCTTCTTCACCTCCTGGGACAGCTTCATACTAGCTGGCTGCACGTGTGTCTGTGTGTTTAAAGAATATCATTTATATAGTCCACGAACAGTGCCAGGAGCAAGCACATGATGACATAAAATGCTTGGTTTCTTCACATGGTTTGTCAATATTTGGTAGATGAAGATGTTCACAGATAACGTAGGTCCAAAAAAAAAAAAAAAAGAAGAGAGAAAACATGACAACACCCACAGACAGCTGTGGACCATGGCCTGCAGGATTCCGTGGGATGCTCAGGGACTGGCCTCCTGGGAAGCTAATCTGACTTAGTAAGGCAATTCTTCATGTCATTCAAACTTTTGCTGTATCATAAAGTTGTCACCAATGTATTCAAGCAGATGTATGGGGGAAGCAAGCTGAAGATCAAGCCCCCGGAGAGCTTCCACTGTCTGAGATTTCCGATTTCTGTAGATGTTCCCACTCTGTCTCACTCCAGTGGCCTGCTAAGGAAGTCACCGCAGCATAATGACCTCGGGGCTGAGGGAGAAGGTGGCAGGGGCAAAGGCCAAGCTCACTGATTATTAATCAAGGGAATTTGTTTCCAACAAACACCAAGGCATACTCACCTTTGAAAATCCCCCAAAGAAGGCCTTTCATAAAGTGGTATAGTCCAAACCAGCAACCAAAAGGGAGGCCAAGTGGTAAACTCAAACTTGAAGAGCTGGCATTTCCTTGGGTCTAGAAGCTCCTAAGAACACTGCTGTTAAGCAAACTCATGTATGCACATACTGTGAGGCCAGAGGAGGGCTCAGAGCCATGGGACTGCTCCTCAGGGTTGAGGGGAGCTGCCCAAGGCAACACATTTGTTAAACTTGCAGTATGCAGAGAGGGTGGCACGATCCATTCCACATTAGCCTTTCCCCATATTTTAGTCTACTTGAGAGCAATTTGAGCATCTCCTATGTGGTCATCTTTGCATAGGAGCAGACATTTATAGACTGCAAGGCCGGGTTGTGACCCATGGAGCTCGCTTTCAGGACTGTGGAAGCCAGGAGGACCAGCACTGTGGTGAGAAAAGCCTTCCGTTCCCATTTACTGAGTCTCACTGAGCCCCGCCGGCTGTTTGGTCAGCTGTGCTGGGCTACATGCGTCCACAGGTACATCCAAGACATGCAAAGCTTCTTTCTCCTGGGGGAGCAGCTGGGGTAAGGCGGTGGTGATGGGGAGGCCTAGTCTGGAACAGGCTTGGGAAGGCACACGCATCTGAGGGCAGAGGCGCGCAGTGCTCTGAGTGAGTCTGGGAGCACTCTGTCACCGGAAGGCTGCAGGGGCTCCAGGATAGGGCCCTGTCCCAGGAACAGGAGCGCTCCTGGCCTTCCCACAATGCTCTGCTGCCCTTGCTGCTGTCTGCTGTTATCAGGTGATGCCTCTGCCCTCTGTGACCCAAGGTTTCTATCCCTAATGGGTGGAATGCTCCTGAGAGAGCTGGTGTAACTTGAGAATGAGGAGCCAAGACCTGGACATCCAAATTCATTCACCTCTGCTCTGCCTGCCCAGGGATATGGGACTTAGGGAGCAGAGCCTCTCTGCCTTGGAGAGCCATGGCTGGAGGAACCAGCTTTGTCTCTGAGTAGGTGCAGGCTTTGGAGCAGGTAGAACTGGACTTCCTGCTTTTAGGTTCGACTCTGGACAACAGAGTAGCTGTGCAGTCCTGGGCCTCCTCCTGTCCTAAACTGATACCGTGGGAGCCGCTGAGCAGGGGCAGGATGAAGATCTCAGCACGGAGCTCCCACCCCTACAGCAATACATGCGCAAAACTCAAAAACAAAGGAGTACGGCTGTGCTGAATTGGCTCAAGCTTTCAGTCCAGAGTCTTTGAAATAGAAATGAGCACAAATGCATTTGGGGAACCATCAGACCCTGGACGGGAGAGGAAAGGAGGGGTTGAGGGCAAACAACCCACCTCCGAGGAGAGGGCGGGGCCCAGGTGACAAAGGACAACCTTATCCTTACAAATGCAAACCAGGCTCCTCTCCCAGCCGGTAAAGCTCCTGTGCGCCTGCTTCACCATCAGCGTCCTGCTGCTCGCTGTCCTGCTGCCCTTCAGGGGTGGCACTGAGCGTCACCCACTGTTCCAAACCTTCTTTGGAAACATGCTGGCTGGGACGGATGAAGTCTCTGTGTGAGTGGCCTTACCAGAATAACCATAGAAGACAGTTAACATTTATTCATATGCAATACTGATTAGGAAATAGCTCTACAAACACAACTTGCTGAGAAACAGCAAGTCAGCGATAGGATAAAACACCAAGAGAGAAAAGGAGCTGTAAATACACTGCAAAAATGTGTTGGATTTTCTTTTTCGTTGCTTTTGTTATTTTCGTCTTGACTAGCACCATCTGTACACAGAAAGTATGAACACAAAAGTTCGGATAATCATAAAGATTTGCAAGGCACTTGATCTGTCATTCAGGGTCATCTCGTCGTTGCTGTTTCGTTTTCGCCGTGGTCAGCAGTGCTGCGTCCACCCTCCCCCTTTCTCACCAAAGCAAGACAAGAGCGAGGTCTCTTTGCTAGCAGTTCTATGTACAAACAAGTTCTTCAAAGTTCCTCAAAGTGCTTCTTCAGTCTCCCGGGTCTTCGAAGTCCCTTGAGCTTCCCGTCACTTTCTCCTTCCGCGTGTTTGGTGTTCCCATCTTCCCTACAGAACACAGAGCAAAAACCGCCTTCCGCTCACCGCTCACTGCAGACTTGCCGCCGACCTTCATCCTCATTCTACCGTCTTTGGGTGCTGCCAGCACCGAAGGCCCGGGGAGGGCGACGCCTCTGAGGTCCCCCAGGGGACCATGGGCGGGGACATGTCTCCTTATCGGCGCCTGGAGGTGATGTCAAAGCAGGTGATCATCATGAGATGTGCCTTGCAGAAGTTGACGCGGCTCTCCAGGCGCTCCGTCACGCACTCGAGCGCCTCCAGGTACTCCAGGGAATCCAGCTCCAAAACCTGCTCCAAGTCAACTGCAAGAGAGGAAGAGGCGCCTCAGGATCACGCCTGCCTGTTGCGCCCAGCGCCCCGCTGCTCCTGGGCCCGCCCCTTCCGCCGCAGGTCTGATTCTGCCTGCCTTAGGACCCCGGGGTTCCCTCCTTCTCACCTGGTCCTCGGCCCATGGGGCAGTGGAAGGGAACCCTTTTACCAGTTTTTAGATCCTTAATATTTTGTTGAGATTATTCTGGGGAATAAGGGGACATCCTAGCCACCTCCACCCCAGGATTTGTGCAAGGTTGTCATACCACTTGCGTCTTTACCAGGAAGTAAGTAGATCTTCAAGCTGGCTGGGGAGAACCCTGGCCTTTCTGGGGTCTCACTGGAGTGGCAGATATATTCTGCCTTCTTAGGTAAAAGGATGTTCCTCCCTCTCCTTATTCCTTCAATGCTCTGTACAGCTGCCTGTCAGACCGAGGATCCTGACCCTCTCGCTTGGCACTCCTGGCCTGGTCTCACATACTCACTGGTCATTCAGGAAATCAGAAACAAGATCTGGATTAAGATCATTCCTGCAGCAGAAAGGCTGCGACTGCCAACTGGACACCTTGCCTAATGTCAGGGCCAGCACAAGATGAGAAATCGCATCCTCCAGTTCCTGAGGCACAGGTATCTGGGGTCAGCCCCTCCCAGGTCCCCTACTTTGTCCCAGGATGGCTGGGCAGAAGGGTGGGCTCCCAGGCCACTGGTCGTATTTGAGAAGGACAGCATGGATGGCAGTCAAGCGTGGCAGAAATGGCCTTGACGTCCAAGGCAGGAGACTGGCATGTGGGTCCCCTAGCTCCATGACCTCACTTCTGCTGGTACCACTTCCTTACAGGTGAGAACGATAGTTCCTGTCCTGCCTGAGCTGTCTGCCTTGAGTTGCTCATAAGAATCAAACAGAGATTAGGACCGTGAACCTGACTTGGAAACTGACATGCTAACGGAGCTCCTGAGACTGACGGAGGCAGGCTTCCTTACAGAGGAGCTCCCCGAGCTCTAGACAGCTAGGTGCCTCACTCCAAGGCCACACTGTGAATTTAATAAGGACCAGGGCTTGCCGAATACCAGTGTAATAATTAAAAAACAAACCCCACCATGCCGTAACCGCAGCAGGCAGCATCACTAGACTGCCCTGACAGGGGCAGCAGAATTGAAACATAAACGTCACAATGGATCCCAGCACGCCCGTTTCTGTGCCGATACCCTGCCTAGAGTCAGTGTGCAGCTTCCTGGGTTATTTTTTTTAATCCATTCTTGTTTTCAATTCCTCCTAAAGAAACAATCTGTATCTGCCCTTTCATGTAGCTTTCTGTACATTCTTTTCCTCAGCATCAAACAGGACGGATTCCTGACATGTACAAAGGCAAGGAGGAAGTGCTTGTTCCTTGGAAGCATCTAAAACATGTGTCCGGATGTCTAAGTTTATTCCCATCCCGGGGAAACAAACGTGACTTTGTGGGATGAAGAAAATTCTCCAGCCCCTCACCCTTGGGCATAAACAGCTCTTCAAAACTCAAATTTTAATGAAAAAGGTAAAAACGAAGCGCCTGCCTGAAGGGATCCCCTAGGATCTGGAAATCCCCGGGGGTTCAGGACAGAAGGAAGCGGGTGTCCACAGATGGCAGGAAAGTAAACATGTGGCTCTGTGCTTATGCTGTGTCAGATATTAGCTGAAGTCCCTGCTCCAGCCCTGTCAGCCCCTTAGTGCTGCGTATGGAATCCTCTTTGGGGTAGAATTCACACTTTGTCCAAATCTCTAATAGAGGACCTGACAGTGTATAGGGACGTGGGCCCCAAGGAAGTGTCCCCTGCAGAGAACACCTACTTAGTTGATAATTACTACTAGACGTGGGGCTCTCACCACGGGCCACGCGGGATAACAGTACCCGACCAATGCGGCAGTAACTCCTTACTGCTCAGAACCACCCAGTGAAATAGGCAGCTGTATTTCCCACTTTATAATTAAGGAAATGAAGACTCAGAGAGGTTAAAGTGTATCACCTAAGGTCACACAGCTAGTACTGTACATGGGAAACCAGGGCCCCGAACAGATCTGTAGGACCGTGAGTGTAACCACAGACGCTGCAGTGCAAACTTGTAACAGGCCTTGCAGACTGGCTGCAGTCCGAATAACCCACAGAGAAACGTGAGGGAGACGTTATTACCTCTTTTATGTGGAAAAGAAAGTGCTGGAAGACTGACTGCTACAAGTGGCTGGGAATGGTGGGAGGCTGACAAACCTGACTTTCTTCTTCTCCTAGTGTCATTTTACCCATTAAAAAAAAAAATTGAACTGAGGGCCTTCACGCTAAGCTGCATCCCCAGTCCTTTATTTTTATTTTTTATTTTGAGACAGGTTCTTGCTAATTTTCTCAGGTTGGGCTCAAACTTGCCATCTCTTTCCGCAGCCTCCCAGAGTGCTGGGATTACAGGCAGGTACCACCACACCCAGATTTCACCCAGTATTTTTTTAAACCAGCTACTTCGGGACAGAAGTCTAAGCCTCCAGATCCCACTAATGGGTCTCTCCAGAAGGTGGACGTGAGGAGAGGGGGACATGCAGGGGAGGAGCATTAAGAGGGGCCACAGGTGGCTGGAGGAGGAGTTAGATGAGAAAGAGAGGGAGAGGACTTTTAATGACACTGATGTATTTTATGGCACAGACTAAATCTTCCAGCTTTGGTTCCTATACCAGTTCAATAGCTGGAACTAGACTTAAGTTTAATTTGGTACAGATGAAATGGTTAGGAACAAATAAACAAGGGACAATTGAATCCGCCCTCAGAGAGAACGAGATTGTCCTGAATTGTTATTAGATGGTTACTGTCATCCCGAGCTTACTATTAAACGTGAGTAACACTGGGGCTGTTCCTCTCGCGGCTCTAATTCTTGTCTATGCCGGGGAAGATGAGCAGTGTGACCCTGTGGCCTGGGAGATTTGTAATGCAGCCTCACGCATGGGTGGTCTTTTGCCGCACGCAGGGCAGGGTGGGAGCATCTCATTTTCAGGTGTTTGGGAAATATCTCGCAGGTTTCCGCCAGGCCTGTCTGCCTCCTGGGGAAAGCAGGATGGCTCCTGGGCAGCACTGGACGTTCCCTCGGATGCAGATAGTTTGTACAGTGTCCCCCAGATTGGACCCTGGGTCTGTGTCCCCCTGGGCCCGGGCCTTACATTCACGGAGCCACTTGTTGGGGTCCAGCATCAGGTACTGTTTGGTCGCCTCCAGCTCCTTCATCAGCCACTCGTACTTGGCTCGGACCTCGGCGATTCTCTGCTGCCGATGTTCCAGAATCTTCAGCTTTGCGTTGAAGCACACGACATCCTGCACAGGGACACAGGGGGAGACAGTGGTGGTGACCAGAAACTAGAAATGGCCACTTTCGAGCACAGCCAGGGAGAAGGAGCTGGTCCCAGGGAGGCGTGGGGGCTGCGGTGATCTTGGCCCAGTTCCTGGCTCCGCAGATCAGACAGCCCAGCCCCAGGGGGACAGTGGTGCGTGATTCTCCCCTTCGGGAAGTAGATGGGGTTCCTCAGAGGGCTAGCGGTGTCTGTACTGGGGGAGAAACCTCAATATAAGCCAGAGAAGGCCTCAAACCATGGGCCTCCCAAAGCGGGACCCTTTAGGGCATTTCAGGAAAGGAAGCAGAGCTCTCTCCAAAGTCTCTGTCCAGTGACCGCTTTGCTGGGATAGGAGCCCATGGCCACCTGCCCACCCAACCCGAAGCCCTAAGAAGTCCCCTGGGCCAGGTCCTCTTCCTTTGGGGCAGGACCTGCTGGGGAATTGCCGTTGCGTGGGGAGGATGTGGTCTCACCTTGCTGGTGCCCCCACGCCGCCGCTGCAGGCGCTCCACGTCATCGATCTCATAGACTTTAATTTCGAAAGGCTCCCCGAGGCCCCTCTGGGTGCTGCGCAGGGGGCCGTCCACCCAGCGGACCCCGGTGCTGGTGGCGGGTTTTCGCATAGGGGAGGAGGTATCGAGGGACAATGCTGGGATGAGCCTCCGTCTCTGGGAACCTGAGGAAGGGAGGAATCCACAGCTGACCTTTTTCATTTCAATCTTCAGTTTGTTTTTAAATGCAAGAAATGGGGGCATGACTGGCACCCGTGACCAGCAGCAGAACCGTGTCTGAAGGGCTCCAACTTTCCATCACCCACCTTAGCATTCACTCCCTTGGGCTTCACCTCGTGAAGCTGAGAATAAACCCCTGCCCTGCCTTTAGAGTCACCCCCTGTCCACTGGGGATGCCCCCAAAGCATGCAGCTTGGAACTGTGTGCTGCGCCTCATGGACAGGCGCTGCTGTGAAATTAAAGATATGTTTGGGTAGAAAGGCCAGGTGCTCATATCATAGTTATAGGAGCGTGCTTATAACAACAGTATTATAATAAGCATTTACTATGTGCCAGGCATTATTCCAGTATTCAACAAGCTTTACACATCAAGACAGAGACTGCCACCCCCTCCCCATATCCGTCTTGCTCTCCTCCCCCTCCTTCTTTTTCCTCTGTGCTAAGGATCAAACCCAGGACCTCGTGCCCGCTAGGCAAGCAGTCTGCCACTGAGCTACACCCCCACACCCGTGTCCTCCTTTTCTTTCTCGCTCCACAGGAGGCTCTGGTATTAGCAGGCACAGGTCCAGCGGCAGTAGAGATCATGCTCTTGCATGGTCCACTTGGGATATCAGCAGGAGAGGGATGCGTGACTGCCAGAAAGTGTCTTTAAAGGTCTGTCATTCTCTTTCTTCTTCCTTTGTCTGAATAAAATCTGACATGATGCTTGGTCCATAAGACGATCATAAATATCAACAACAAAGACAGAGAGCCAAGATTCCTAACACCTGGGAGACTTAGATGAGAATAAATCCTTATATTGTATTAGGGGGTTTTCTGACACAAACATAATCCTAATATATATACAGTAACTCATTTAATTCTCACAGAAGAGGACATAAAAGTACAAAGAATGGAAATAGTTTGCCCAAGAAGGTCTGAGTATTTTCTTGTTGAGTAAAAGTCCATTGCCCATCTAAAATAAATAAATACATAAATGACATTTAAACATCAGATGACAAGCAGTTTTCCCAAAGGATGCTGTTATGGCTTGGATCATAAGTGACTCCTGGCATATGTTGAAAGCCTGGTTACTACTCTGCGAGCTATTGGAACCTTTACAAGGTGGGGCATGGTGAGAGGAAATGAGATCACTGGGGGTGTGGCCTTGAAGAGGATATTGGGAACCCAGCCCTTTCCTCTTCTATCTCTCTCTCTCTCTGTTTCCTGACTGAAAGGAGGGAAGTATTTTTGTCCTACCACACTCCTGCCATAATGTTCTGCCTCATCACATGCCTAAAGTGAAAGGCTCAAGTGACCATGGACTGAAATGTCTGAAACCATGAGCCTAAATAAACCTTCCTCCTTTTAAATTGTTCACCTCAGATGTGTTGTCACAGTGGTGCAAAGTCCCCACTGACCCACCCAAGCACCACCTTTCTCATGAGTAAAGCCATGGCTTGGCCTTTTAAGCACAGACCTGATACTTTCATCCATGTCTGAAATGGACTTTGCTTCTTGCTTTGGGAAACTACACTGTTTCTTCCACTTGTCCTGCTCCCTTTGCCCATGGGGGTTTGGGAGTTTCTAGAATGATTCTTTGGAAGGGAAGCCTGTATCTGTTGAAGGCTAGGCCATGATGTTGGGCATTACTTGTGAGGGGCTGGAATTTTGGAGGTTGCTTTCTCCTGGGAAGGAGGGTGGTTGGTAAAGGTGATGTAACCCCAACAGGTTTACCTGGAAGCTGAAGGAAGCCTGGTCTACTGTCACTCTGAATTGGTTCATGGTTCCTTTCTGAGGTTGGACAAAGAAGGTGGAGTTCACCTGAAGCATTTCATGGCTGCACTGAGGGTAGAACAGATGAAAAGCCCTATCCAAAGTTGGATTTGACTATTAAACTGTGACAGCAAACAATGAAGACCATAAAACACTGATGAAGGAAACGAGATGACATACACAAAAAATATGGAAAGAACTTTCGTGTTCATGGATTGGAAGAATAGTGTTAAAATGTCCATGCCACCAATGCTATCTACAGATTCAATGCAATCTCCATCAAAATACCAATGACATTCCTCATAGAACTAAAAGAACAATGTTAAAATTCACATGGAAACACAAAGACCTCCAAGTAGTCAAAGCAATCTTGAACAAAAAGAACAAAGACAATGGCATCACAATACCTGATTTCAAGACAAACTAGAGTGTAGTTCTGAGACTCTAGAAATAAACCCACACATCCATCATCAAATGATTATACACAAAGACATTTAAAACATACATTAGAGAAGCCCAATATGGTGATGCACTACTCTAATCTACACACTCTTGGAAGCTGAGGCAGGGGGATCACAAGTTTGAGCTCAGCCTTGGCAACTTAGCAAGACTCTCTCAAAATATGAAATAAAGTAATAAAATAAAATAATAAAAAAGGGCTAGGATGTAGCTCATTGTAAAGGCCATGGTTACCCCCTCCCCAAAACACAAAAACAAGATAAAAAACTACACACTGGAAAGAGGATGGCCTCTTCAATAAATGGTGCTAGGGAAACTGGAAATCCACATGCAGAGAACGGAAACTTGACCTCTACTCTCATCTTGTAAAAAAAATCAATTAAAAAAGGACTAAAGACCTAATTATAGGATTTAAAACTATGAACTGTGAGAAGAAACTAGGAGAAACACTTCAAGAGATTGGCAGTCAATGCTTTTTTGGGTAAGGCCTTGAAAGCACAGGAATAGAAAGGAATTTTTGACAAATGAGATAACATCATACTGAAAGCTTCTGTACAGCAACAACAGAGGAAAGAGAAAATTTGTGCCAGCTATTCATCTGAGAGAAGATTAATATCAAGAATGTACAAAGAACTAAAAAAAAATTAAAAACCAAGCAAATCAATTGAAAATGGGCACATGATCTGAATAGACACTTTTCAAAAGAAGAACTGTAAATGGCCAAAAAATATGTGAGAAATATATACTATACCCATATCATTAACCAGCATGGATTTGCAAATCAGAACAACAATGAGATACTATCTCATCCTAGTTAGAATGGCTATTATTTAAAAAAAAAAGTTGGTGACAATGAAGAGAAAAAGGAGTTCTCATCCACTGTTGGCAAGAATGTAAATTTGTATAGCCCTTAGCGAGGAGAGCACGCAAGTTCCTGAAAACACCAGAAACAGATCTACCAGATGATCCAGCCGTCCCACTCCTGGGTCGTGGGAAATGAAATTAGCGTATCAAAGAGACACCTCGGAGCCCACGTTCATTGCAGCACCACTTGCAATAGCCCAGGGGAGCCCGCCGAGGTGTTTGTCAGCAGATGGCTGGGTAAGGAGAGCAGGACACACACACACGAAGGGTTATTACTCAGCTGGAAAGAAATCCTGTCACTTGCAGCAAAATGGATGGAACTGGAGGCCACCAGGTTAAGTGACATAAACAGAAAGGCATAGAAAGACAAACACCATGTTTCTCTCCTGTGTGGAAGCTAAAACAGATGAGTATGGACTGGGAGGGGAGTGTGCCAAAAGGGAGGCTGGATTTGATCAGTGCACGATGTAGGCATGTATGGAAATTTCACACCAAAGCCTGGCAATGTGTGCGATGTGTGCATGTGTTACGTATTTTAGATGAGAGCAGGAGAGAGTTTGCAGTAAGGCAGCCCAGATCATCTGAAGCCTACATCATCCCACGGTTTTTCTGGAGGACCTGGACATCTGTAGGTACCTGCAGATTTGTGTAACTGGGGGTGCTGGTCCTTATGCTCACGTCAGTGGTGGAGTTAGGTCCAGAAGCCAATCGTGGAGGAGCCCATGTCCTCTGTCTCCACCCTCCCTTCCCGCCCTCCACCCACCAAGCCCAGCAGGTTCTCCCTGCTGAGTGCAGAGCCAGTGTGACCTGCTCAGCCTTGAACACCTTCAAGGAAGAGAGAAGCTGTTTTCCTCTCTAACTTGGAGAGCTCCAAGGACTGTGAAGGAAGCGTAAAGAAAGGTATCACGACCACAGACAGCGCCAGAATTCTTCAATAGAGAATGAGGGGAGGCAGCATGATCCAGGGCCTCTTCCTCATGACTACTTCCTCGTCCTGGGGAATTGGGAACACGCAAAGCCACCGCTGTGGTCCCCTGAGGCAGGTGGGGCTGCAAGCAGCCGTCTGGAGATGATGAGGTCCCCTTTGTACAGAGTCAGTTCTCTCTACAAAGCACCCCGTGCTCTCTAAGCTCCCCTGAACCACATCAGATGTCCCTTTCTGGAGCCCGATCATACTTTTCCAATGGGAGTGAACCAGATAACGTTCTTTTATAAGAGCCACGTCAGGCTGGTGAACAAGCCCAGCCACTGTGCCTCTGTGCGTCAGCTCCAGCCTCTGTGGCCCTGCCGCTGGGGAGCATCTGCAGCAGCTGAGTGGGGATGAGCGCCAGGAGGCAGGAGCTGCGGTTCTGTCTGCAGGAGAATGAGCTGTGAGTGGCCAGGAATGCCGAAGGCGAGAACATGGTGATCCGGGGACTTCTTGTCTTTTAGCCACTCCAGGAGTGGCTCCTGTCATCCTCTTTTCTCTGGATTTCATAAATGTTCTCAGACTTCAGAGAGGGTGACTGGCAAGATAGGAAATACCCGTTCTAACACCGAAGTCACTTATGAAATGTGTGGAGCGTCTCAGTATCTAAGCAGAGCTGGATAGCCCCACACAGGTCTAGGCATTTGTAGGACAACTCTGCCTGTGTGAGAAACAGAGCTGGAACTGACGAGAGTCATGGACGGAATGGTGTATTGGTCCTCTAGTGCTGTGTAACAAGTGACCTCCAATCCTAGCAGCTAAAGCCAGTTAGCTCACACACTCCTGTGGTTAGGAGTCTGGGAGCAGCTGAGCTGTTTGGCTCAGGCTCTGGGCCTCTGGTGAGTTGCCCTCAAGCTGTCAGATGGGACTTCAAGTTGTCTGAAGGCTTGGCTGGGGTGG